CAGGCCAGAGGGAGAAAAATAACAAAATGAGGAGAAAATAAGCTGTTTGGCTGTGGTGTGAGCAGGAATATCCATGCAGAGCTGCCCACCACTCACCCTTACTCACTCTTTCCACACCCAGCCAGGGCGCCCAGCATGAGACAGACCACCCCCCTGCCCCCTCCCCCGTCTGGGCTAAAAGCAGACGCTGGTGAGCGAGCAGCAGGTTATAAATATGCCCAGGGAACTGCCGCCAACTCTCTCCCTTGTCATCCCCTGGGAGGGGATAGGGTGGGGTGGCTCCTAGGGAGGAGCCAGGGCTGCCCTGTTCCCTGGGGCCCAGGAGGAAGTGGGGCTTCCAAGAGGCTACTGCATTTTTTTTCTTTTTTGCCCTTTTCAAAGAGAAGGAACCACTGCCACTTCATTTTTTCTGGACATTTGTTCATCTGCTCGGAGGTGGGGTCCCCATACTCCCTGGGTCATGGCTGGAAGCTCAGAATGAATGGTGCCAAGTCCACTCACTCTGTGTCATGATGCAGCCCAGCACCGCTTCTCCTCACACCCAGCACCAAAGTTCACTCATTCATTCAACAGACATTGGCTGAGGGCCTGCTGAACGCCAAGCCCTGTGCACACGCGTATCTGCGTGTATGCACGAGTATGGGCATGCACACCCCGCAGCCCCTACTCCCGTGCACTCACACCAGCTCCAGCCCCTCCTATGGACTTCTTGGCTTTAACCTGACAACCTCATAAGGCAGGATATAGCTTCAGGCTCCTGGTTCTGCCTCAGAGCAGGTTGCGGGGGAGATGCAGGCTCACTGAGAATGGGGCCCCTAAACATTCCTGCTTCTACTACCTCCCTGATAAATGAGAGGGTCCTTTCTCTCTTCCCCGCCCAATCATCCTACCAATGCAGGTGCCATGCAAGGAAGAAAGAGCCACTCGGTGAAAGGCTGAGGGCACCTGCCTAGGCTGCCAGAGCCTCCTGCCTCACAGCCACTCACCAAGTAGGTACCAAGCTGGGCAAGAGGGGGCAGTGCCACCCTGGGAAGCTCCCAGCTCTCCTCCCCTAGAGCTGGACCCCTCCCTTCTCTCTCTTCCCTATTAATCCTCGGAAGTGAAGGGGCCGTCCCTGGCGGCCCCTCAGCCCTATTGTGGCCCCTCGCCCTCCTCTGCTGGCGTCTAATTAACTCCTTCTGCCCCCGGTTTTGTGTGCCCCCCTTACCCCACCTTGTCGGCCCCGCCCCTCCGCTCGGCCGGCTCCCCCCCACGGACATTCCAGCCCGGCCGGGCCAGTGTGCCAGGGCAACCAGGGCCGGACCAAGGCCTAATCCCCCGGTCGCCCGGCCCGGCTAGGGGAGCCCCACTCACCTCCCCGCTCTCTGGGGGCTGCCCGGCTCTGCTGTGGCGGAGACACACAATCAGGACAAAGGCGCAGCCCCCAGGGGGCTAACTCAGCCTTCACGCCCAGGTTGTGCGGCATTTGGGGAGTTTAATGAATTGTCCATCACGCCTTTCAGGGCCCGCCCGTCAGCCTGGATTAATCTTCGGAGCCCTGGTGGGGTAGGAGACACTAAGCCTGTATTTATTACTCTCCCATTGTCACTAATTGAGGTAATTATCTGTGACTCTGGCCTGGCCAACAATGCGGCATTCACTCCCGGGACCTCGATGGGCTTGGCTCCCACTCTCAGCACCCACCCTCCCTCCTCTGCTCTCCCAAACCCGCCGAGTGCTAAGTGGTGCCCTGGAGCATGATGGGAAAGTGGACAATGTCCCACAATGCTTCACCTCCCAACCAGTATGGCATTGCTGCTAGGGAGAGGTCTGGGCCCTCCAAAGTAGAAAAGAAAAGAAGGCAGACTGTCTGGGGGCAGGTTTGGCTGGCAGAGCCCTCAAGCCACAGAGGGGCATGTTTCTGAGGTCTTTGGTTTTCTGGACTCTTCAACTCCTCCTCTCTGGTTCGGTGGCCCCTCACAGGGCCCTTCTGTGGATCCACCTTCATGTCCCTGTAGCCTACACAGCTCTAGGGTATTGGGAGGCCCTAACCCATACCTAGCATACCCTGAGGAGCTCCCTAAAGCTATCAGGGCTGGCCGAGTAGTGTGAGTATGATGGGGGAAGTTGGGAGAAAGAATGGAAAAGGGCTGGTGAGGGAGCTCAGGGAAAGAGCAAGAGGAGCCATCCCAGGAAGGAGCATCCAGGGCTCACATTAATGCGGCCATGCAATAATCTTAGGGAGGAACTTGGATTTGAAGGGGTGAGCAATGCCAAAGAGTAGATTTCATGTGGAGATATCTTCCCAGGTC